AGAGGCCTCTGTTGTCGCCGTCTCTAGACCACAGAGCAGCTCAGTTTAGAAGCGCTCCTGTGAAACCCCAGCCCGGCGCACAGCACCGCACTGAGGCACTCTACAGCCGGCCTGTCGGATCGGTGGAGATCAGCAGGCCCTCCTGCATGACCTCCCCACCGAGCAGAGTTTTGCAAACCCCCGTGCGCGGCAGGGATCGCTCTGGGACAGTGAGGCTCAGCAAACCCAGCCGGCCTTAATACTCCCCCAGGAGCGAACCGCCAGTGTGTCCGCACTCGTGTCTTCCCATGCTTTTTTGGTTTCCCTAAACTGAGAGACAAACCCAAAAGACAGAGGAGACTCTCTACCACCGTGATGTGCCCCTTTCAGATACAGATGCAAGTGTAGATGCGCAATAAATAAGTGACCTGTACTGTCCAGCAGGGTGCTGGACTTCTGGGGAGATCGTGAAGGGTCTTGACCAGTCCCAGAATCCCAGATTCTCCAACACAAACTTTTCCAGTAGATACCTGTGACCGGGATTCCCCAAGCAGGGCTGCACAACTGGCTCTGTGGCCTATTATGAAAGAGCAATCCCTGGGGAGAGTCAGAGAGGCGTGGCTGGTGAGAGTGTCATAGGGGGCGTGTCCTCTGGGAGAGTCGGAGGGGTGTGGTTGGTGGGAATGTCTTGAGGGACTGTCATAGGGGCGTGGCAGGCAGGAGAGGAGTGTAGCACATGGTCAAGTCAGGTGGTCATGTCTGAAAGAGTCGGGGGGTGTGTGTGGCTAGTGGGAGTGTCAGAGAGGTGTGGCAAGTGGGAGGAGTGTCATGTCTTTGAAGAGTTGCAGATGCAGGAAAAGTCTTATTCCCCCCCTTGGTACAGAGAACAGTCCCTGTTCCCCACAGGTCAGAGAACAGCCCCTGTAATGCCCAGGTGGCTCATTCTAATCCTCAAGTCACTGCAGAAGTGATAGCAGTAATCCAGACTGATTAACTTCATTATCGGAGTAAAGCATTGAGGATTCCTCGTTAAAAAAACAATCAGACTTGTTAAAAACAAGTTGAGAAAACATGTGGTGCTGCTGCAGGTGGGCCCGATGCTGTGGGCTTTTTGTTTACCAGAAACGGTGTGTTTCTGTGGCAGCGGGGGATTTCTGCAGAGGCGCTGTGGATGGAATGGGGCTGCCCAGTGACAAAGGCTGCTAACGCGTCAACACAGACAAAAAACCCTCAACAAAGCTTGCTTGTGGTCTGCTGCTGCTCAGCCCCGCTGCCTTCTTGATGGGAACGGCACCAGCCGGCTAACCACGGGCTGCCGAAGAGACTGCGCTCTCTCCCCTGGCGTGCGTCCTGTGGAGACAGCCTGGGCTGCGGCGGCCACCCCTGAGCGGACCAGCCGGGCGCGAGTCCGCTTCGGCCCGCGCGCTTTCCTTTACCGCCAGCGCCCGTCTCCCGGATGCAGGATGGCGTCCCGTTACGAGAGGCTGCTTCTCTCTGTGCCCATGTGGAAATGTCCTGGGATGCAGGACCTTAAAAGGCCTGACCTCTGGGGCTCAATTCAGTTCAGGCCTTATTCACCCCTGGGGGGCAATTAGTTTTAGGGCAGAGTCCAGCACACCTGTTCAGACAAAGGCCGACTTCACCGGTGTGGAAGAGATTTGGGCCTGCTTGGATTAGCGAGCGGCTCGGCTCCGGAGAAGCCCTCACAGACGCAGCCTGCTGGGCCCCACAGTGGCGTCACGCTGGGAGGGACTGGGTCCGGGTGTCGTCACCCTCGCCCTCCCACTCGTTTTCCCAGCCGGACTGCGCGGGGAGGCGGGGACTCGGCCCCGACGCGCTGACGGGGAACATGATCCCAGCAGGCGGACGCCGATCAGCAGGCTGTCCGATATCCTTCCGAAGCCTGTCGACTCCGCCAGGGCCAACAGGTGCAGAGTACATGATTTCCACCCACTTTGCTAAAAAGCGCAATTACTGGGATGACTCGATCTCGAAATGGACTGTGATTGACAAATTTGTGTGTTTTTTTTTTGTACGTTAATGTTGCTTGCCATTAAGCTAAAAAGCAAAAACAGGTTCCTGAATGCATCTGGGCACACTACTCTCACAGCATGCCAAGTGCTGACATGTGGGACGGAGCAGGGAGTTCTTACAGTAAGAGCTTTGCAATAGCACTTCCTCTAATAACAGGGCTCTCAGCAAGACATCAGCGGCTGTCTGTCTCTCCTTCTGTGGCTGTCTGTGCGTCCTGGGGATACAAGCAGACCCACATGATCTCCAGGACCTCCACAGCCCAAAATAACCCCCCCCCCCTCCCAAGAGCAAAGAAAAAGTGGGCAACTATGAAAGTGTGCGGAGTTGGTTTATTTAAAAACAAAGGACTGGTTTTAAAAAATCAAATTAAATAAATCAACATCTGAAGATTCTAGCTTCAGCTGTAGTGCTTCTCAAACTGTGGATTTTGTTAAAAAAGTCTGCAGGTCTATAGTTTTAAAAAAAAAGTTCAGAAGAGACCACAAGGAAGCTATTAATTTGGGTTTTGTCTGTTGTGAGACAGACTGCCTATTTACTCCCTATTTGTAGCCAATTTCAAGGAAGATGCTTCCCCAATTGTAAAAAAAAAAACTTAAATCAGAACTGCATGCCACACCCCCCACCCAGCACAGAGAACAGTCCCTGTACCCCCCAGCACAGAGAACAGCCCCTGTACCCCCCAGCACAGAGAACAGCCCCTGTGCCATGCAGGTGGCTGATCGTACTCCGTTGGTCAGTGCAGTCGGGGAGGGTGAGGAGGGTTCAAGCATGAATCGGCGCCTCAGTCTCCCAGCAGTGTGAGCCTCTGTGCAGAGTAAACAAGATGGCTCAGAGTCAACACCTCGCGGTCCTGGAGGTCTGGCCCTCGGCACGCCGTGTCAGAGGACTCAGAAAACAAGTTCTCGCTTTTCTTCTGTCTTGGAGGCGATTCCAGACGGCGAGCCTGAGCAAGTTGCAGCACGAGGCCAAAAAACAGGATCTCTGAGGTTGTGTAAGTTGCGACTAACAGCAGCACAGGGCTCTAAGAAACAGCGTCCTTGGGGGAAAAAACAAAACAACCCCTCCGGTACCGCCGCCCCTTGCGGGAGAGAACAGCCTGGGCACGAGCCTGGACAGGCCGCAGCCCGGCGGACAGCCCTCTCGGTGCTGGCTGTGGGCTTGCGGAGAGGGCAGGAGGAACGGGCTCTTCTTCCCCCCGCCCTGCTCAAACCTGGAGCCCTTCCAGCCTGCTTCAGTCCCGCAGTACTCGTCAAGAACCGGTCCGAAGGAGTTCAGGTCGTCTGGTTGGCGGACATGTTGTGCGGTTTGTTGAGATACTTGTTGAAAGGTTTCTGCACTTGAGATTTGGAGCAGAAGCCCCTGTGCAATTTATACATTTGTGGTGTAGCTACAGGGAGGTCCTTTTGCGTGTTGTCTGAGTCGTTGTTTTCTGTTGCTCTCCCTAAAAGAGCTGGTGCAGACGGGGTGGGGCAGGTGTTGTTGTGCCAGAGGAGGTGACTCCAGGCCTGGTTTCTCCTCCTGAACTGGAACTTGCAGCGTGGCGTTTCTTGAAAGCATCCCTGTGTGGGTCACTGCGGCGCTGGACGCGTGTGGAGTGGTCAGTAGGTTGAGGCTGCGGGCGGTGGACTGGAGGGGGTCTGGAGGGCGAGGAACTTGCTGCCTGCCGTGTTTCCTGGAACACAGGTTTCCAGGTCATCGCTGGATCCGAGAATGTATTTTCAATGGATTCACCTGGAAAAATAGTGGAATAATAACATCAGCACTGTATGTACAAGTGTGTGCAAATCTGGTACCGGCGAATCAATGAAACAATGTCTTCCTCTGGGCCCTGGTAACGGTTGCCTACACACTTGTTGCTAAGGTGATGGTTTCCAAGGCAGAGGGTGCACATTATGTAAGTGTAAGAATTTGAAAGAGATGTTTTTATCATTCTGGTTTTCCCTTTTGTTTTTCCCAATAAAATGGTATTGAAGTGAACAAGTTAGCCTAAAAGCACCATGGTAAAGCATGCAGAGGTGCGGATGTACATTACAGGAATGAGCATTAGCAGTTGCAGGAGAGCCATCTTTGGCCTCTTTCCGAAGGTAGCGTACAGTAGTTGTAAATGCTGCTGCAGAGGTATTGAAGAAACTATCGTCTCCGTATCAACAATAGTATTCACTTTATGCAGCGGATGTGTGTAATCCGGCAGTTTTACTTTCAGAAATGACGGAGCTGAGAAGAAATTTACATAATGCAAAATGTGCGTGGTACAGGGCGAAGAGTGAGGAACAGTACACAGGCCAGCAGTTACTGTACATGCAAACTGCTGCCAGTGTGGGTGTCGTGGGGACTGTCCCTTTGTGGACTCCCGTGAGGCAGGAAGAGTACAGCACCCACTCGCTGAGCACCGCCTCCGGCTTCACGCTCACCTACCCAGATCCTGTTCAGCAGAGAGCGGCCAGAGCTCTCCAGACACTGCCGGGGCAGCTGAAGGGCATCTCGGGCAGGGAGTCAGGGGGGGTCAAGTCTGGGGGCGCAGTGGGGATTACCACCGTACCCCCTTGTGACGTTCTGTACAGGTGACACCGGGTCATTTCGGTAATCAGCCAACCGGCTGGCAGGCTGAGATGTGGACGGTGCTTCAGGTCAGTTAACCACAGCAAAAGATCCATCCAGAAAATGTCAATCATTCATGAAGTGCTGTAAAAATTGTTCATTTTTCCTTCGGTGCTGCTTCGCAGTTGGTTTGTCAGGGGTCAGGAAGTGTTCTGAAGGCAGCAGTGGAGCAGCCTTATGAAGGACAGAGCACAAAGTCATTCAGTCACACACTCGGGGTAGCAAGCACTGACCCGGCGGCATAGCTTGGACCTGAACCCGGAGCCCTGGCCACCAGATCGCCCTAGTTCCTCCCAAGGAACGGTGGAAGCGGCACCGAACTGGCGGCGCTGCTCTCAAGGCGCAGGGTCTCACTGCGGCGGTGTCGGCCTCCCTGTGTGTCTCCACAGCCATGGACCCGTCGATCACGCTGTGGCAGTTCCTGCTGCACCTCCTGGAGGACCAGAGCCACCGGCACCTGATCTCCTGGACCTCCAGCGACGGCGAGTTCAAGCTGCTGGACGCCGAGGAGGTGGCGCGGCTCTGGGGGCTCCGCAAGAACAAGACCAACATGAACTACGACAAGCTGAGCCGCGCCCTGCGCTACTACTACGACAAGGTACTGGTAGGGACCGCCGCGGCTGAGTTCCCAGACCGTGCTGGCTGGCGGGATACAGGAGGGTTGTCAAAGGCTTTGCCTATCGTGGAAAGAGAAGTCGTTACAGTGGACCAACCACTAGGGGCCGCCACATCACCCCTAAAGTGCTCGTAAATAGCCACAGTGGGGACTGTGTAGTGATTAATGAATTGGTTAAGGGCGTAGGAGTTCACATTCTCCCATGGGTGCAGAGAAGTTTTAGAATTAAAAGGGAAATGCAGGGGAATAGTGGTGCTAGGTGTTTTTTTTGTGTTAGTTTCTCTACTGAAAAGGCCTAAAATAGAGCTTCCTGGATTTGAGGTTTTGGTTTGGAGTCGCGGTGCAGTTCTGCGTGTGCAGACCCTAGGACCCTTTATGTTCCCTCCACTTTGAAAACGTCTTAAACCACAGGCTTGTCGTGACTTCACACCGCGGGAGGCGTTTTAAAGGGAGCTTGATGGCCCAAAAAGGGCTCGCTTCGTGCCTTCTGTCCTCAGCGGCGCCCGTGGGAGTATCTGCCTCCTGCAGATCAGGGGGCAGGTCGCTGACCGAGGCCGCGGGGCTCCGTGCGGGTGTCCGCGGCCGCGTGAAATTAATCCCCCTGCCTCTGTCCCAAAAACCGCTGCAGAACATCATCAAGAAAGTGAGCGGTCAGAAGTTCGTCTACAAGTTCGTGACCTACCCCGACCCCGCCGCCACGGAGACCGTGAGGGAGGAGTCGAGGCGGAGGGAGAGCCTGGCGGACGCGCTGCACCTGCCCAAGGGCCCCGGCGGCGAGGGCGCCCCCTCCCTGCCCAAGGGGCTGCAGCTGCAGCGCCTCGCCGCCGGCCCCGGCGCGGCCCAGCGCAGCTCCCGCAACGACTACATGAAGTCCGGCCTCTACTCCACCTTCACCATCCAGTCCCTGCAGGCGCCCAGCAAGGCGGCCCGCCCCCCCAAAGCCGAGGCGCCCCCGCCCGCCGAGCCTTCCCAGAAAGCCCTGGCCGCCGACCGGCCGCTGCCAGAGGTGAGGAGCTCTCCGCGCCGTTCCCTGGCCGGCCTGCCAGGGGGCGCTGTTGGACAGCCAGCCCCTCCACTGCATGACGGAGACAACTTCTTTCACGCTCTTCAGATACAGACAGAAAACTTACCTTTTTACAAGGTCTAGGTCTGGTACATTCAGTCTGTAAAAACCTGCATGCCCTTGTTCTTTTTTCCTACTTTTTTCTTTATTCATGACGTACATCGTCCTTGGGTTTGGCAGGGCGCTTTATAAATAGAAGTTATTATTGTTATTGCCGTGTAATAGACGTCAAGAAGCTGCCTGTGGCTGCTGACAAGAGCGACAGCACGCTGAGGGTTATTCTTAAAATGCAAAACTGAAGCGGCACGCGAGAATTAGGGCCCACAGGAATCAAAAGAAATTGTAGCATTTTCTCGCTCGCTGCCAGACAGGCGGAGGTGAGGAAATACGTGGGTGTGAAGCAAGTTTTTATTCTAGCTTTTGATAAGAACGGGGCCCCCAGCACGCATGTCCAGACTGGCCGAGAAAGTTTTGGGGGGGGGGGGGCTGTGTGGTGCTCTGGCCACTGCAGATCGGAAATCCTCTCTCTGGGAGAGAGGGGAGAGATTATAAAGCAGAGCAAACAGCTCTTTTCCTTCCTGGATTGCAGGCTTTTGACACACCCCTGGAGAACTGAGCAACTTCAGTTCTTGAGTGCTGGCTGCCTTCAGTACCTTCACACTGGAAAACTGACGTGCACCAGCGTCGGATTGTTTTTCAATGACCGAGTTGAGCAGTGATCTGCTTGCTTACTCATTTGCAGGAGTGATGTATATACTTGGTAACTGAATGACTGGGCTGACTAACTTCCTTTCTCTCCAAGAGACTGGTTTGCGAGCCTCCCTGGGATCAGTTCGTCATCTTGGCTCTAAGATGGGAGTCACTGGAATAGTCCATTTCCCCTCGGGGTGCGGAGTGGAATAGTCCATTTCCCCTCGGGGTGCGGAGTGGAATAGTCCATTTTCCCTGGGGGTGCGGAGCGGAATAGTCCATTTTCCCTGGGGGTGCGGAGTGGAATAGTCATGTCATTTACCAAACTGCTTTATACCGTACGGGAAGCCGGAGCGTACCCGGCAAGCAGCGAGTGCAAGGCAGGGTACACCCTGGAGGGGGCGCCAGTCCATCGCAGGGCAGGTGCAAGCCAGTCATACATGGGAACAGTGTGGAGGCCACGGTAAAGGTCGAGGGGGGAAATTTGGCCCGGACACCGGGACAACTCCCTTCTCTTACTGAGAAACGCCCGGGGATCTTTAATGACCACTGAGAGTCAGGACCTCGGTTTAACATCTCATCCGAAAGATGGCGCCCACTACAGTCTAGTGTCCCCGCCACTATACTGGGGCATTAGGACCCACACAGACCGCAGGGTGGGCGCCCCCTGCTGGTCCCACTCACACCACTTCCAGCAGCAACCATAGCTTCCCAGGAGTCTCCCCTCCAGGTACTGGCCAGGCTCAGCCCTGCTGAGCTCCAGTGGGTAGCGGAGTGAGTTAGCCTGTGCAAAAACCGCAAACGGAACTGTGGCCAGGAGCTACACGCGCCCCTTTCCAGAAAATGTGCATGTAAGATCCAGATACCTTATAAAACAATAACATTCTTACTGTCTTGCTGCGTCCGTTTGGCGTCTGCGGTTGTACCCGGCCCCTGCTCGTCTGCCTGACGATCCTCTCTCCCCCCCCCAGGTGCGTGTGCAGGTGGCGGAACGGCCTGGCTGTGTGGAGGGTGCAGGCCTGGAGGAGCCCCTCACCCTGCAGGTGATCGTCACCCAGCCCTCCCCCTCCGCCACCCCCGCCCTCAGCCCCCAGATGGCCCCCGGGCCGGCTGAGGTCGGCACGGTGAGTGTGGCCGCCGCCGCGGACAAGATGGGCTTTCAGCTGAACGCCCTTCACTGGGCAGAGTGAAACCAAACCGTGAGAATGGAGAACAGAGCGGATCTCACACAGCTGGGCTCCAAGTACAGCTCTGTCACAATATGTGCTCCACACAACTGCATTCCCACTCTCTTAAGAAACTCCGGCCTTGTCGTACGTCGCAGGTGCTCCTTATAC